GCCCCCACCATCGATCATGCCCCCGCCATCGATCACGCCCCCACAATCGATCGTGCCCCCGCCATCAATCATGCCCCCGCCATCGGTCACGCCATGGGTCACGCCATCGATCACGTCCCCACCATCAATCACGCCCCCGCAATCAATCATGCCCCACAATCAATCACGCCCCACAATGGATCACGCCCTGCATTTGATCACACCCCACAATCGATCACACTCTCTGCATCCCCCACCAGCTGCCTGATGTTGGCGGCCACCTTGAACCAGCCAGCCTAGCAGAGCTAGAGTGGAGCAAGACTCTCAGGCCCTGCTGGACTTCCTGAGCCTGAGGCAAATACCATCTGGTTGCCAAAAAAGCCTTAAAAGAGCACACTTCCATTCCTGGTCTCCACCCTGCTCCTTCAGAATCAACTTTATCAAGTTTCTAGAAATAGCCAACAGCTCAAAACCACAATTTCTTTGGCTGCTAAGGAGTGTCTGGCAACCTGCTGAGATCTTCCTTTCAAATGAGGGGATAGGCGTGACCCAAAGCAGTCTGTTTTTTCTGTGGCATGGTTATAATTACACCTTATTCCAAATACCTTCCAAGGTTTTTCCACTATCTTCAAAACTTTTAAAATCACTCTTAGAAGTGGCTTTGTAGCCTTTTGAGTCAGTTTTCAAGGGGGCCAGAAACGATCCAGATGAGGCTATTACTGGAATAGCCCCCACCTCCAGATCGGAATCAGGGCCATACATCTAGAGCCGTCCAACAGACAATGGGAGACATTCCTTGCGTGTGAACTGTGACATGAGAGAAAAGAAGAAAATTGTACTGCGGAGCTTCTCGTGATTCTCACGTCATGAGGCAGCACACAGGCTCCTGTGGTGCCAGGTCACAAGACAGCTTCCAGAGGCGTGGGCCCCGTGTTCCTACCTCCTCCCTGGAAGCACACAGACAGCACCAGGTCCCTCCTAAGCCACAGGGAACTTACAGCAGGCGCTTTTCATGGTTAGAAGAGGAAGGAGTTCTCTTCACAGGGGAAGTGCCACCACTGGCCAGAGCACCCACAGTCACAGTCTCAGGACCACTGACCATCTCAGTGACACTGGTGGGCCCGGCTCTGCCTCTGGCCCGAACTACTCCCTACTCCATATTCTTGGTGACTCTGAAACTGAGGCGGCAGAAAGGAGAACCACAGCCTGTGACGGCACGTGGTATCACCAGAGACCAAAAAGAGGGAAAATGACCAGCCTCTGATGTGTAGACCTCCTTGCCAAGTTCTTCATTTTCAAAGTCACCTCCTGAGATGGGCAAGACCTGGCTATGTGACTAGTGAGCCGCATAATCATGTCACTTCCTCTCCGTGGGTCACAACTTCGAACAGCTGTGAAATAAGAGGGTGGGGCGAGCGGCCCATACTAGATGATTCCATGTCCTCTCCAGTGCCGACTCTTCCACAACACCCGTCTCACGGTGCTGACTGGCTTCACAGGTGGCTACAGGTTAGATGTGTGCTTCATCCTGGAGCAGAAGGATACACTTCTGCATATAAACGTCAATGTTTCCAACAGCAGGTTTTTCCCTTTTCTTTTTTTTTTTTTTTGAGACGAAGTCTTGCTCTTGTCCCCCAGGCTGGAGTGCAATGGTGTAATCTCGGCTCACTGCAACCTCCACCTCCTGGGTCAAGTGATTCTCCTGCATCAGCCTCCCGAGTAGCTGGGATTACAGGCGCCTGCCACCACGCCTGGCTAATTTTTTGTATTTTTAGTAGAGACGGGGTTTCACCATGTTGGCCAGGCTGGTCTCGAACTCCTGACCTCAGGTGATCTGCCAGCCTCGGCCTCCCAAAGTGCTGGGATTACAGACATGAGCCACCGCGCCCGGCCTCTACCAACAGCAGTTTTTGAAGTGGCTATCAATGATTCAGATGAAAGAGCACCCATTCCCTCAGAGACATCACTGATGGTATCCACAGACCCAAACCTCAATCCCATGCACTTTCAGGGTGAGATGTGAATTGCCGTCTTCATAATCAATTGCTTAAATAGGATTCTAGAAAGAAGTCAACAGACTTGAAAGAATGTATCTTTGGCCTCATTCCTTTAAACTCCTTCCTCTTCTAACCATTAAAAGTTCCTACTATAAAGAGGTAGCTCTACTGATAACCGTCAGCAAAGCAGATATATGTGCTGAACTATCAAGATTTCCTAGTCATTCCTTTCTCTTCAGACTAGAGTACAGTGGTACATTCATGGCTCGCTGCAACCTCAACCTCCCAGGGTCAAGTGATCCTTCTCTCAGCCTCCTGAGTAGCTGGGACTATAGGTGTGCACCTCCATGCACAGCTAATTCTTGTATTTTTTGTAGAGATGGAGTTTTGCCATGTTGCCCAGGCTGGTCTCAAACTCCTGGACTCAAGCGATGTGCCCACTTCAGCCTCCCAAAGTGCTAGGATTACAGGCGTGAGCCACTGCACCAACTGATTTCCTAGTCATTCAGAAATCATGAGCTGGGCAGGCCTGTCCATTTCCACGTTGAGTTCTTTTTTCACTCCACCGTGAGACCTGCTAAGCCTTTCTCACAGTTATAAGAGGTTAGAAATGGCTATGAAAAATACATTTTAGTTCAAGAGTTTCACGGTTTTCAAGAGAATGTAAGACTCTTCCGTTCTTTGTTGGGAAATACTGACTGATGACTAGAAACATTCACTGTCATGGGCATGCTTAGGCCAGGAGGATTTGAAATGTAAAGACACTAAAGAAAAAACTCTTTCCTTCAACGCTACAACAAGCATGGAAGCATTTGCCAGAAGGGTAGTTGGAAGAATCAGCTATGCTTGAATCAAGGCTCATGAACTTCCATTTCAAACGTGCAGGCAAAGATTTCAGAACACAACTTTTCACATGACTTCTACAATTTACAGACAGCAAGACCGTAAATTCGAGAAATGGAAGCAATGCAGAGGGTAGTAACCTGCCTGCCATCTCCCGCCCCTCACAATAAATAGCTATTCCTATCATTTCCAGATGGTTCTACCACCACCACGTAAACATAAGGGAAGAAAATTCACCAGAAAGGATGCTAAAAATAAGAAGTCTGGACTTTTCTCAAACTTCCAGTACCTCTTAAAAAAACAGTT